TTGCAAATGTATTAAAAATAAAAAGCAGAAATACCTTATTTACATAAATATTCTGATCCTTTGCTATGAGACTCGAATTTGAGCTCAGGTGCATTCTGTTTACATTCATCATCCTTGAAATATTTCTACAACTTGATTGGAGTCCACCTGTGGTAAATTAAATGGAAGGCACACACCTGTCTATATAAGCTCCCACAGTTGACAGTGTCAGAGAAAAAACCAAGCCATGAGGTTGAAGGAATTGTCCATAGAGCTCCGAGAGAAAATAATTGTGTCGAGGCACAGATCTGGGGAAGGGTACCAAAATAATTCGGCAGCAGTGGCCTCCATCATTCTTAAATGGAAGAAGTTTGGAACCACCAAGACTCTTCCTAGAGCTGGCCATCCGGCCAAACAGAGCAATCAGGGGGAGAAGGGCCTTGGTCAGGGAGGTGACCAAGAACCCAATGGTCAATGACAGAGCTCCAGAGTTCCTCTGTGAAAATGGGAGAACCTTCCAGAAGGACAACCATCTATGCAACACTCCACCAATCAGGCTTTGATGGTAGAGTGGCCAGAGGGAAGACACTCCTCAGTAAAACGTACATGGCAGCCCGCTTGGAGTTTGCCAAAAGGCACTTAACGGACTCTCAGACCATGAGAAACAAGATTCTCTGATTTGATGAAACCAAGACTGAACCCTTTGGACTGAATGCCAAGCGTCACATCTGGAGGAAACCTGGCACAATCCCTACGGTGAAGCATGGTGGTGGCAGCATCATGCTGTGGGAATGTTATTCAGTGGCAGGGACTGGGAGACTAGTCAGGATTGAGGGAAAGATGAACAGAGCAAGTCCAGAGAGACCCTTGATGAAAGACTGGGGCGAAAGTTCACCTTCCAACCGGGCAACGACCCTAAGCACACAGCCAAGACAAGTCTCTGAATGTCCTTGAGTGTCCCAGCCAGAGCCCGGACTTCAACCTGAACGAACATCTCTGGAGAGACCTGAAAATAGCTGTGCAGCGACGCTCCACATCCAACCTGACAGAGCTTGCCAAACTCCCCAAATACAGGTGTGCCAAGCTTGTAGCGCTATACTCAAGAAGACTCAAGGCTGTAATCGCTGCCAAAGGTGCTTCAACAAAGTACTGAGTAAAGGGTCTGAATACTTATGTAACAGTGTTGCTTCCGTCCCTCTCCTCGCCCCTACCTGGGCTTGAACCAGGGACCCTCTGCACACATCGCCGTTACCCGTCGCTCCACAAAAGCCACGGCCCTTGCAGAGCAAGGGAAACAACTACTTCAAGGTCTCAGAGCGAGTGACGTCACCGATTGAAATGCTACTAGTGTGCACCGCTACCTAGCTAGCCATTTCACACCGGTTACACTTATGTAAATGTAATATTTCCATTTTAAATGTTTTATAAATTAGCAAAATGTCTAAAAACCTGTTTTTGCTTTGTCATTATGGGGTATTGTGTGTAGATTGATGAGGGGGAAAAAAACAATTTAATCAATTTTAAATAAGGCTGTAACCTAGCAATGTGGAAAAAGTCAAGGGATCTGAATACTTTCTGAATGCACTGTGTGTATGTGTGAATATATATGTGTGTGTGTGTGTGTATACAGCACCAGTCAAACGTTTGGACCCACCTACTCATTTAAGGGTTTTTCTTTATTTTTACTATTTTCTACATTGCAGAATAATAGTGAAAACTTCAAAACTATGAAATAACACATATGGAATCATGTAGTAACCAAAAAAGTGTCAAACAAATCAACATATATTTGAGATTTGAGATTCTTCAAAGTAGCCACCCTTTGCCTTGATGACAGCTTTGCACACTCTTGGCATTCTCTCAACCAGCTTCACCTGGAATGTTTTTCCAACAGTCTTGAAGGAGTTCCCACATATGCTGAGCACTTGTTGGCTGCTTTTCCTTCACTCTGCGGTCCGACTCATCCCAAACCATCTCAATTGGATTTAGGTTGGGGGATTGTGGAGGCCAGGTCATCTGATGCAGCACTCCATCACTCTCCTTCTTGATCAAATAGCCCTTACACAGCCTGGAGGTGTGTTAGGTCATTGTCCTGTTGAAAAACAAATGATAGTCCCACTAAGCCCAAACCAGATGGGATGGCGTATCACTGCAGAATGCTGTGGTAGCCATGCTGGTTAAGTGTGCCTTGAATTCTAAATAAATCACTGACAGTGTCACCAGCAAAGCACCTCCACACCATAACACCTCCTCCTCCATGCTTTACGGTGGGAAATACACATGCAGAGATCATCTGTTCACCCACACCACATCTCACAAAGATCCAAAAATCTCAAATTTGGACAGATTTCCACCGGTCTATTGTCCATTGCTCGTGTTTCTTGGCCGATCATCCGTTCACCTACTCTGCATCTCACAAAGACACGGTGGTTGGGACCAAAAATCTCAAATTTGGACTCATCAGACCAAAGGACAGATTTCCACCGGTCTAATGTCCATTGCTCGTGTTTCTTGGCCCAAGCAGTCTCTTCTTCTTATTGGTGTCCTTTAGTGGTGTTCTTTGCAGCAATTCGACCATAAAGGCCAGATTCACGCAGTCTCCTCTGAATAGTTGATGCTGAAATATGTCTGTTACTTGAACTCTGTGAAGAATTTATTTGGCCTGCAATCTGAAGCTGGTAACTCTAATGAACTCATCCTCTGCAGCAGAGGTAACTCTGGGTCTTCCTTTCCTGTGGCGGTCCTCATGAGAGCCAGTTTTATCATAGCGCTTGATGTTTTTTGCAACTGCACTTGAAGAAACGTTGAAAGTTCTTGAAATATTCCGTATTGACTGACCTTCATGTCTTAAAGTAATGATGGACTGTCGTTTCTCTTTGCTTATTTGAGCTGTTCTTACCATAATATGGACATGGTCTTTTACCAAATAGGGCTATCTTCTGTATCCCACCCCTTCCTTGTCACAACACAACTGATTGGCTCAAACGCATTAAGAAGGAAATAAATTCCACAAATTAACTTTTAACAAGGCACACCTGTTTATTGAAATGCATTCCAGGTGACTACCTCATGAAGCTGGTTGAGAGAAGGCTAAGAGTGTGCAAAGCTGTCATCAAGACAAAGGGTGGCTACTTTGAAGAATCTCACATATAAAATATATTTTGATTTGTTTGACACTTTTTTGGTTACTACATGATTCCATTTGTGTTATTTAATAGTTCTGATGTCTTCACCATTGTTGTACAATGTAGAAAATAGTAAAAATAAAGAAAAACCCTTGAATGAGTAGGTGTGTCCAAACTTTTGACTGGTACTGTATGTATAAATATCTCAGCTCATGAAACATGGGACCAACACTTTACATGTTGCATTGATATTTTTGTTCAGTGTATATATATATATATATATATATATATATATATATATATATATACCCATATACTGTATTTACACTGAACAAAAATATAAACGCAACATGTAACCATTATTTAGATTTGACTGAGTTACAGTTCATATAAAAAAATCCTTAGGCCCTAATCTATGGATTTCACATGACTGGGAATACAGATATGGGTCTGTTGGTCACAGATACCTTAAAAAATAGGCCTCAGGATCTCATCACGGCATCTCTGTGCATTCAAATTGCCATAGATAAAATACAATTGTGTTCGTTGTCCGTAGGTGGTAGCCGTCTAATGACAGTGACAAAAATTCAGGACAGGGTACTGTGCAGGGGCCGGCTAATTGTTGAATTGTTGACTAATTAACCGTCTGATGGCCTTGAGATAGAAGCTGTTTTTCAGTCTCTCTGTCCCAGCTTTGATCCACCTGTACTGACCTAATGAGGGACAGGGTTAATTCATATTGGCTGATATCATGCTCATCTCCTGCCTGCACGCATGTGCGTAGGCCTAATTGTAGCGGCCTTTATCGGCCTACATTTTAATTATACAAAAGTGGAATGGATTGGTCCACTATACATGATTGTAGGCTACTTACTCTGCCTGGACCCGAGCAGAATGAAATATGGCTGAATTGCATGGGTCCTTCCATTAGCTGTGCTGTGGTGTAGGATAGGCTACTCCCTAATCTGTCCAGTCAAAAATGTAGACAGTTAAGGTGCCTACCTATATATGGAAATGATTCACTTTGTCCTTCTCTGACATTGAGTGCTTTTGCTTGCTTATTACGCAGCAAAGAGGTTGTGTTGCCCAGCCTATGGAAGGAGAAGGTGGGTTGCATAGCCAGTTGCCGTTGATTATCATACAGCTGTAGTCATGACCCCTCCCCCCGAATCTTTCGATGGAATAATAAAATATCTCCCTCCGAAGTCTGCCGGTTTGAGGCCTCACACGCGTCAGAACAATTACAATTCTGGGGCTGAATTAAAGGGGTGTGCGCGAAGCCCCCTCCACCATACACGGCCATTGTCCTCCCTCTCAGGAGAAAAGGATGAAAACATCCCTGAAGAATAGGCTGGCACGCGACACGCCGAAGAAAACTAAAAGAGGAGAAAACTAACCACTGCTTAATAGAAGTAAAGTGACTGGGGATTTTTCATCGCCAATCAAGTTATGACTCTCATGCTTACACAGCAAACCTACATTTCCCCATCGATAAAGTGTATTCACCATTGCATATATCCAGTCCTTTAATTTACTACGTATTGAAATTAATGTCTTATGATAGTAATATATCAAAATATGTTTGTTTTTTCAATCACACGAGTTTAGGTTAGGTCTCTTCGCAATCAAGGTGCCAGTTCTTTCAACGTGTATAGGCCTATAGCCTATTTCTTCACATTTTCGTTTAGCTATGTGGCTGAAGCATCCATAGAGCCTTAAACTTAAATGGGTATGCATTTCGTTATATTACACTATCCAATTTGGTGACATCGAATCAAAGCACATCGTAAACAGTCCCCAAATTGCAGCCAAGTCTGCACAGCCTTTGACACACCCCCTAATTCGCGCCCGCTTCCTCCCCCTCTGATGCTGGAAGGCGGTATAAAATCCCTGGTGCACTCTTCATTACATGTAACTAAAGGTAGAAGTCCAGATTGCAACTGTTCCGCGGAGCGAAAGGATTTTATTTTCGTTGTGAGCTCCATTTCTATTAAGTATTGTCTGAAGACAAAACAAATCTGACAAGAAGTGCGCTCTATTTTTACATTTCGCACGTGATCTTTTTCTTCTTTTTTTGGATTCAATACATTTTTCCTCTATATTGGATATCTAGCGCTGTCTGCTATACTTTCATAGCAGACGAATAAACACTTCCCAGAATGTCTCATTTGTTATTAACGTGTTTTTTGGCGTTGATATCAATGCAGCTGGTGAGTACACATACTATATTCATAGAGTTATGCTACGTGTTGGTAACCTGTGCAATTGCGCCTTTTACACACTGATATGTACTTATTCTTCCTGTAGGCCGAGTCGTCCGGTGTGTTTGAGTTGAAAGTACACTCCTTCAGTAGTACCCGTAGTGTCTGCAAACGGTCTAGGGACTGCCAGATATTCTTTCGAGTCTGCCTTAAACATTCCCAAGATGTCATCTCACCTGAGCCCCCCTGCACCTATGGCATGGGACTGACCGAAATCTTCAGTGCGGACCAGAGCTCCATCTCCAGTAGTGCACCCATCAGAGTGCATTTCCAATTAAAGTGGCCGGTGAGTAGCCTACTGTACACATATTCAATATACTATAGAGCTGATGGTAAATTAAAGGTCCAATGCAGCCGTTTTTAGCTCAATATCAAATCCTTTCTGGGTAACAATTAAGTACCTTACTGTGATTGTTTTCAAATAAATGGTCAAAAATAAACAAAAATAGCTTCTTAGTAAAGAGCAATTTCGCAAGTGAGAATTTTGCTAAGACTGACTGGGAGTGGGGAACTCTCTTATTTGTCTATTAACTAATTTACCACCTGGTGTTGTGACCAGGCAGGCCAAAACTCCATCCCACCAAAACAGGCTGTAATTTCAGGCAGTCTTTAAAAACACCTCTTATACTAAAAGCGCGTTATCATCATTTCCACAATTTCACTGTATTATTCCAACATGGTATGGAAATAAATTTAAAACACAGGAAAAGCACGTTTTTTTTACTGCACTGGGCCTTTAATGGTTAATGCCTGGTGCTACATTTCATAGGTTGGGTAATGTCATTAAGCTTTTCATGAAGAGTTTTCACTTGAAATAATCCCGCCTCTTACAGCTTTTTGACAAAGTATATAATTTTCCTGTGTGGATTGTAGGGTACATTCTCGCTCATTGTTGAAGCCTGGAACGCAGAGTCCTCCGACGGCCAGTCCACAGGTAGGTAGCCTTCAGTGCACACTCCCTCTAGGGGGCGTAAAGTGGCTTTGATATTCCTCTAACAGTCATCCCAGCACAAGCGTTTGAGTATAAAACACGTTTTACCTATTTGCAAAAATATATTTTTTAAAGCTATTACCTCACAAGATTGAATTTTAGGAATATATTTTATTTTTCATCTGCTTAATGTCTCTCTCTTTAATAGAAAACCAGAATAACTTGATCAGCCGCTTGGCCACCCGTAGAAGACTAGACATTGACGAGGATTGGTCACAGGATGTGCATTTTGAAGAGCAAAGTGAACTTCGTTATTCTTACCACGTTGTCTGCGATGAAAACTACCACGGCGACAGCTGCTCAGACTACTGCCGTCCCCGTGATGATCAATTCGGACACTTTACTTGTGATGCCGCGGCCACCAAAATGTGCCTGTCGGGTTGGAAAGGAGAATACTGCTCAGAACGTAAGTGTAGAGAAGGACTACAACTTTTTTTTAATGATGAGGCCAATTCTTTTTTTCTATTTTTAAAGGCTGTTATTCAGAGTAAAATATATATATATATATAGCCACAAAATGACTGTTTTGCGACACTGATTTGTGATGGATGTGCACAGCGCTTGTAATTTCAATTATTGAAATAGTTAATTCAGACATTTCAACTACATCTTCTGGTTAAAACATGTTGCTTCTGTCTATTCAAATATAGAGTTTGCATCTTTTGTTCGGGCCAACAATGGGAGCTGAGTGTATGGTTTAACAGGGACACGCGTTGGAACTTAATGTGCGCTCCCTTGCGTGAAAGAATATGGCATGTGTTCCTTTTGTGTGCGTACCAGCTGCTTAGTTTAGTACTTAACAAATACTTGATGTGTCTGAGCTCAGTGAGGGGGGGTTGTTTTGTGATGCGAAAGGGGCACACTCATTCTAATTTCCCCCTATCTCTAAAGCCATATGCTGGTCTGGCTGTAGTGCGAAGCACGGTTATTGTGAGGCCCCTGGCGAGTGCAAGTGCCGCCTCGGGTGGCAGGGGCCCCTCTGTGACGAGTGCGTCCGCTACCCTGGCTGCTTGCATGGCACCTGCGGCCAGCCGTGGCAGTGCAACTGTAAAGAGGGCTGGGGAGGACTGTTCTGCAACCAGGACCTCAACTACTGCACCAACCACAAGCCCTGCATGAACAATGCGCCCTGCACCAACACAGGCCAGGGCAGCTACACCTGTACCTGCAGGCCGGGCTTCAGTGGCAACAATTGTGAAATCGAAACCAACGAGTGTGACAGCAACCCCTGCAAGAACGGAGGCAGCTGCAATGTAAGTTCTGCCATAACTGCTGTGTTGTAATTATCTCTCAGGATTAAAAGCTATTGCTCACAATCCAAGTCTTTAATTGTTCACTATGAAACGCTAACCTATCTATTTCATATTTCCAGGATCTGGAGAATGACTACACCTGCACCTGCCCCCAAGGCTTCTACGGGAAGAACTGTGAGATCAGTGCAATGACCTGTGCCGACGGGCCCTGCTTCAACGGTGGAACCTGTATGGAGCAGGTGACCGGTGGTTACTCCTGCCGCTGTCCTGCCGGCTACATGGGCTCCAACTGCGAGAAGAAGCTTGACCGCTGCAGCAACGACCCCTGTGCTAATGGTATGCATCCCCCCAACAGCACAACCACTGTCTGTGTGAGGGAAACCTACCAGGACTTCGGATTGTTAAGATGGAGCCGCTCACAAACTCTTATCTGTCTGTCTGACAACAAAACTCAACCGACTGTGCTGCAGACACATTCTTTGGCAGTTACCATCGTGGGTTTTTGTAAATTGTTATTCTTTGTCCGTAAACTCAGTTTTGTTTTGACATGCATCCAGTCTGCGCCTAAAATGTAAAGATTGCAGCACAGGCACGGTACAAAAGACTCTTGGCTCAGACTGATATAAGGGGTGAGATATAGCTGTCATTATGAGGCGGAAAAAACTAGTCTTAGAATGTTGTTGGCTATTTTGTCCCCCATGGGTCCTCATTAGCTACACTGTAACTGTACTTAATGTGGGAATGAGCACAAGCTTATCTGTAATTGGCTACATTTCCTGTTGGTGTGGGAAGCAAATATAAATTTGCCTTCCATAAGAAGCTTTGACACTCATACCTGTACTTCAAGTTTTGATAAACATGTTGAGTGTGCAGTGATTTGAACCCCTCCTCGTCTGTCTATCTCTCTGATAGGTGGCCAGTGCCTGGATCTGGGCCACAGCCTGATGTGCCGTTGTCGCCCTGGCTTCACTGGGCCGCGCTGCGAGATCAACATCGATGACTGCGCCCGCAACCCCTGCCACAACGCCGGTACCTGCGTGGATGGCATCAGCGACTTTACCTGCACCTGCACCCTGGGCTTCACCAGCAAGGACTGCAGCGTCCGCGCCGATGCCTGCTCCATCTTCCCCTGCCAGAATGGAGGCACCTGCTACACCCACTTCACCGGACCCGTGTGCCAGTGCCCGGCCAGCTTCATGGGTTCCCGATGCGAGTTCAGCCTCAAACCCACCGCCAACCCCAAGGCAGACGGCTTGCCCGCAGCCCTGGTTGTCGCCTTCGCCCTGGGCCTGGTCACCCTCACCCTGGTGGTTTGTGCTGCCATCGTGGTCCTAAGCCAGATGAGGCGCGGGCGGAAGGCCATGGCATCTTCTGTTCGGAACGACCTGGAGACGGTCAACAATCGGCCCATAGGTGGTTCCAACCCCCCGTCCAGCCTCCGAGAGAAGGAAGCCTTCCTCATCCCCGGCGGACATTATAAGGTGTCCAATAAGGACGCAGCGCTGATCTCGGCCCCCGCAGACAAACCTAGAGACAAGGCGGCCTACAAGCAGAAGATGGTTGACTACAACTTGGCCAAGGAGGAAGACCGTCATGCCAAGAACAAATTTGACCAGTAAGTATGCCTCGCCAAACTCAAACGGTATTGTGCCAATGAAGCAGAGAGTGTGTGATCACCAATGCCCTAGAGTTGAATGGAGTACTTGTATTTCCCAGTGGAACCTAGCACCCGGGCTTTCTTCTAGCAGAAATGTTACAACTTGATCTCTTACTATGTGATGCTCAGGCTTTATCAGATTTTTTAAACCCTCAACTTTGTATTGGAGATCATGGGATCCACTGTTTTTGTTGATGTTGTATGATTCCATTGCTCCTGTGGAACCAATCCTGACCTCCTTACCCTCCCTCGATCTCTTTTACAGGAAAAAAGAAGGCAGCATAATGGTTCCACCAATGAGCTTCCCTAAAGAAGGCTTGTACCACCCAGTCTTCATCATCCAGACCGAACAGCAAACGGAACAGTGTGTCTTTGCTACTGAGGTAAGCAGCTCCACCCATTCAAACGGGTTATTATTAAGAGGTTATAAAGGAAGTTATTGTTAAATCACTTTTTCAAGATTTGTTTGGTAACTTTCTCTCTCTATCATTTTCCCACGTTAGGTTTAACAACAGTATTCCGACACCAGGAGTACTGTGACCAACAAAGGCTTTGCCTGATCATGTTTACAATCTTTCAAAGACAATTCAAAGAATTGAAGAGGATATATTAAATCAACAGGTATTATTTAATATTTATTCATGCTGCTCATTAAAAATGAATTTGTTCACAACATTGACAATGTTTGGAAACAATACGTGAAAAGTGGGGGCTGGAGAGTAGAAAGAATGTTCCAGCATCATTTGCACTACATTTTTAAATTGGATATAATTTGCTTTGTGTTAAAAATGAACAAAAATAAAACTTTATTCGGAAGAGGGCCAAGGATTCACCAATCACAGAGAAGCAGGACTTTTTTCTCTCCTGATGCCTTATCAAAAAGAAAAGGACATCTCAAATAATCTAGAGGGGCCTTTTTACAATCGACGAATAAGATGTCACTACAATCCACTTGAGAATCAAAAGTAACAGCAAGGACACATCCGTGGCCTATTTGTTTTTTTTTTTGGTGTCAAAGCGGGAAACAATGTTGATGCTATCAAGGAACTGAAAATGAAGGTTTACTGAAAGCTTAGATGGACAGTTGTCTATAAATATCTGTGAGTTTGGAGTGGCCGGATGTCATATCTAGGCCTTCTGGTCCCTAAACTGGACTCCCTTTCCCTATGGAAATAAATCACCAATGTGCCCTATCTTTCGGAGCATTACATGTACAGTATAGTTAGGAAACTCAATCTTATCAAGTGCCTGATCTTTAAATTATGCTATGACTTAAGGAAAAATGGTACTGATCTTACACACTGACTTTTTTATGTGTTCTTTTATGTGTTTGTTTGATACTGTACACGTTTTTTCACTGTCTCTTTCGGAGTATATCTTTTTTTTTACAAACACACCAGAAAGTCTTGAACCAGTTGAAAGTCGTAGTATATGTAATTTGTACAGTTTGACTTTCTCAATGCCTTTCAATGTACAGCTTCCATCTTGTCAAACACCCAGTGCTTTCTACGACATTCCCTTGACTTTAATGAAGTGTATTGTGCATAAAGACGGCTTCCCCGATGACAAAATATCCAAGTTTTTTTTAAACCGACAGTGCTGGATCTTTAAAAACATATGAATTTTTTACAGAGTGAAAGACTCCAAAGAGAGGGTGTCCTTTTTGTTCTTTTTAATTTGAAACCAAATAGATATATTTTTTTTACATATTTGTATTTTCCTCTTTAATTTAACAATGCAATGTGTACATAACCATGAGATATTCTTTATTTAATGATTTGTATTTATGAAGAGAATTGTATATATGTCTATGTTATGTGTCTATTGTCACAAAATATATATTTTTTCATAATAAATCAGAGAACAGTAATTAATGTGTTGTCTTCCACTGGGGGTTGGGAACTTTGGGCTGCTTGCTTGATGTTTATGGTAAGTAGATGGGACGTGGGGCTCAAGTCGATGGGGCCCATTACTTTTGTTGCTGGGCCTCCTAGATAGCAAGGATGTTGGCCTATCACAGAAAGGGAATCACATGGATGGCACTAGCTCGCAGATTGTTGCCTAGGAGGCGGCTGCGGTGCTGTTTGGAGATGCATCATCCAGGGATTAATGTGCCAGACTAGAAAAGGGAGAGGGAGAGATCCTACAGGGCGTTTTCTCTAAAGCCTGGGGCATAGTTCCCACAGCATACATTATCTGGCTCTAAAGACCAGCTATAATCCATCTCCCTGATGCCTGTATGTATGTGTGTATGTATGTGTATGTGTGTGTATATATATATATATATATATATATTAGTGAGTAAAAAAAGTATTTGATCCCCTGCTGATTTTGTACGTTTGCCCACTGACAAAGACATGATCAGTCTATCATTTTAATGGTAGATTTATTTGAACAGTGAGAGACAGAATAACAACAAAAAAATCCAGAAAAACGCATGTCAAAAATGTTATAAATTGATTTGCATTTTAATGAGGGAAATAAGTATTTGACCCCTCTGCAAACATGACTTAGTACTTGGTGGCAAAACCCTTGTTGGCAATCACAGAGGTCAGACGTTTCTTGTAGTTGGCCACCAGGTTCTCACACATCTCAGGAGGGATTTTGTCCCAATCCTCTTTGCAGATCTTCTCCAAGTCATTAAGGTTTTGTCGTATCGAGTAAATGCTGGCAATTATTGCTGATAAACAAAGGAGTCCGCTCATACTGAACCTGGATCATAAGTTTTATTCATATCACAAGCTTTCAGCATGAGTTACAGACTTGCAGGGTCTGGAGAGCAGTGTCCTCGAATTCTAATGGCTGCTCTGCTTTCTTCTTCGTCTAGCCCATACTTATAAACAATGTGAAAATATGGGTTGCTCCCCCTGCGGTCCAATGACCCGTCTCCCCTGGGGCGTCACCCTACAACTGACTACTTTTGAACTAACATAAACAACATTCCATTTCTTCATGAAAACCATTTAACAAAGGCATAATCCTAATACACTACAGTTTCGAGGCTGACGTTTGGTAACTCGAACCTTCAGCTCCCTCCACAGATTTTCTATGGGATTAATGTCTGGAGACTGGCTAGGCCACTCCAGGACCTTAATGTGCTTCTTCTTGAGCCACTCCTTTTTTTTTTTTTTTTTTTAAATTTTAAAAACTTTGTTGCCTTGGCCGTGTGTTTTGGGTCATTGTCATGCTGGAATACCCATTTTCAATGCCCTGGCTGAGGGAAGGAGGTTCTCACCCAAGATTTGGCCCCGTCCATCGTCCCTTTGATGCGGTGAAGTTGTCCTGTCCCCTTAGCCGAAAAACACCCCCAAAGCATAATGTTTCCACCTCCATGTTTGACGGTGGGGATGGTATTCTTGGGGTCATAGGCAGCATTCCTCCTCCTCCAAACACAGCGAGTTGAGTTGATGCCAAAGAGCTCGATTTTGGTCTCATCTGACCACAACACTTTCACCCAGTTCTCCTCTGAATCATTCAGATGTTAATTGGCAAACTTCAGATGGTCCTGTATATGTGCTTTCTTGAGCAGGGGGACCTTGCGGGCGCTGCAGGATTTCAGTCCTTCACGGCGTAGTGTGTTTCCAATTGTTTTCTTGGTGACTATGGTCCCAGCTGCCTTGAGATCATTGACAAGATCCTGCTGTGTAGTTCTGGGCTGATTCCTCACCGTTCTCATGATCATTGCAACTCCACGAGGTGAGATCTTGCATGGAGCCGAGGGAGATTGACAGGTCTTTTGTGTTTATTCCATTTGCGAATAATCGCACCAACTGTTGTCACCTTCTCACCAAGCTGCTTGGCGATGGTCTTGTAGCCCATTCCAGCCTTGTGTAGGTCTACAATCTTGTCCCTGACATCCTGTGCTCTTTGGTCTTGACCATGGTGGAGAATTTGGAATCTGATTGATTGATTGCTTCTGTGGACAGGTGCTTTTATACAGGTAACAAGCTGAGATTAGGAGCACTCCCTTTAAGAGTGTGCTCCTAATCTCAGCTCGTTACCTATATAAAAGACACCTGGGAGCCAGAAATCTTTCTGATTGAGAGGGGGTCAAATACTTATTTCCCTCATTAAAATGCAAATCAATTTATAACATTTTTGGCATGTGTTTTTCTTGATTTTGTTGTTGTTATTCTGTCTCTCACTGTTCAAATAAACCTACCATTAAAATTATAGACTGATCATTTCTTTGTCAGTGGGCAAACGTACAAAATCAGCAGGGGATCAAAAACTTTTTTCCCTCACTGTATATATATATATATATATATATATGCTAATTCTCTATAACTTTCTCCCCCCCCCCCCCTTCAACGAGACCCTGTATTGTGAAAAATAGATTAAAGGAGAAGCGTATGTTAACAATGTCAGCATTCTCTGCACCACTGCTCCTAGCGCCGTGTGCACACATCTGCTGACCGCTCATGGAATCAGATTTCTAACATCAGTTCTGAAATATGTTACTTTCTGTATTTTACTCAAGCAATGAGCATAATGAGAAACTGAAATTGAGTGTTCCTGTGTTGGAGGAAGATCCGCTGAGAATAACCTGCCTCTCAAGGCCCACCCCCCCCCCCCCCCCCCCCCCCCCTTTCAGAAAAAAAGTGATGGTTAGGGAGAAGAAACTGTATAAATGGGGGGAGGGGAGCACATGCTGAGAGCTGGGAGGGCCTCTGGCCCCCCATGGGGAGCATGGACATGTGGGCTGGGCCCCACTCAGCACCTGATCCTGTGGGCCCCTACTCTGCCTGGCTCTGCTAACCTCCATGTGCCAGCCCAAACATCCAAACCAGAATGCTAAGCTACGCTAGTTCATGCTAGTCCACCGCACTGAATCTTATACTTGGGGGATACATCCCCATTGTCCATGCTGTTTATCAAATGTGAATGATCTCAACACACTGTGAACAAACTGGTTGAATCAACGTTGTTTCAATGTAATTTATCAACCTATTGTGACGTGGAATCTGCATGGAAAATACATTGAATTTGAAAAAAGTAATCAACATAAACTGTTGTTTTGAGAGTGAAATTTCAACCTCAGGATTATGTCAGTGTAACCAATTTTCAATATAGACAAACCTTATATAAAATATGTTGAATTTGTACCTTTGAAACAACCTCAGATCTTCAATGTTATATCCACTATCAGAGAAAAATAATAGGCTGGGCAGCACCAGGACTAAATCAAATCAGACTTTATTTCAAGTGCATTTAAAGTTGGATTAGATTATATTTAGTCCTATTCTTTAATTTAGAATTTTGGTTGAGTAGGAGACGTGAATCCAACATATCAATTATTAATTTTGCGTTGTCAACCAAACACAATTCAAGAATACTTTTGTAATACAGTAAATAGCCTAAAGTTAAGGCTATTTTACAAACTAATCGAACATAATTGATTTAACACATCCATGGCCACGTTTCGAGGTCAGCCTACTGTAAATAACTACAGCTCAGCGTTCAACACCATAATGCTAAACACCCTGGGGTTAAACACCTCCCTCTGCAACTGGATCCTGGATTTCCTGACATGCCACCCCCATGAGGTGAGGGTAGACAACAACATATCCGCCACACTGACCCTCAACATGGGGGCCCCTCAGGGGTGCGTGCTTAGTCCCCTCCTGTATTCCCTGTTCATCCACGACTGCTTGGCCGTGCACAACTCCAACACTATCATTAAGTTTGCTGACAACACAATGATGGTAGGCCTGATCACCGACGACGATGAGAGGAGGTTAGAGACCTGGCAGTGTGATTCCAGGACAACAACCTCTCCCTCAACGTCAGCAAGACGAAGGAGCTGATCGTGGGCTATAGAAAACAGAGGGCCGAGCACGCCTCCATCCACATCAACGGGGCTGTAGTGGAGCGGGTCGAGAGCTTCAAGATCCTCGGTATCCACATCATTAAGGAATTATCATGGTCCACACATCCCAACACAGTCGTGAAGAGGGCACAACACCTCTTCCCCCTCAGGAGGCTGAAAAGATCCGGCATGGGTTTTACAGCTGCACCATTGAGAGCATCTTGACTGGCTGCATCACCACTTGGTATGGCAACTGCTTGCATCCGACGGCAAGTCGCTACAGAGGTACATACGGCCCAGTACATCACTAGGGCCGAACTCCCTGCCATCCAGGACCTCTATACCAGGTGGTGTCAGAGGAAGGCCCTAAAGATTGCCAAAGACTCCAGCCACTCAAATCATAGACTGTTCTCTCTGCTACCGCATGGCAAGCGGTACAGATGCACCAAGTCTGGACCCAACAGAACCCTGAACAGCTTCTACCCCCAAGCCAAAACACTGCTAAATAGTTAGTCCAGGTAGCTATTTGTTAACTCTTTAACTATCTGCATTGACTCATCACATACGCTGCTGTTACTGTTTATTATCTATCCTGTTGCCTCAATTACCCCTTACCCGTGCACATCGACTCGGTACTGGTACCCCGTGTATATAGCCAAGTTATCGTTACTCGTTGTGTATTTATTCCTTGTGTTATTTTTCTATTTTTCTACTATTTCAAATGTTTTCTATCTGCATTGTTCGGAAGGGCCTGTAAGCATTTCACTGTTAGTCTACACCTGTTGTTTACGAAGCATATGACAAATACAATGTCTTCTTATGTAATCATAGAAAGCTTGCATGTTCAAGATAGCAGGCAAAGGTTGCAGGTCTGTGGATATCTTCACAATTGCTATAATAATCTGTACAGAATCTTGCATTTTAGTCATCCAGCAAAGTGGTTCCCAAACCATTTCACTCAGACTCCTCTTTCAGCATTGGAGAACATCCCGCGCCCTATGTCTATTTCTATGGGCACAAGCACTATTCATGACACAAACTGTTCACACC